CTCCACACCTTTGATTATGCCAGATGACCTTGATTTTTACTATTATAATCAGTGAACTTTGATATCTTGTAGTTTTAATCTGCATTTTTAAATTGTCAATGTGAGCATTTTGTCTTATGTTTACTGGCTTTCTGGTTTTTACCCTTCCTTCCTTCCTTCCTTCCTTCCTTCCTTCCTTCCTTCCTTCCTTCCTTCCTTCCTTCCTTCTCTCCTGTCTTTCTTTCTTTCTTTCGACGGGCTGGAGTGCAGTGGTGTGATCTCAGGCTCACTGCAATCTCCACCGCCTGGGATCAAGCGATTCTCGTGCCTCAGCCTCTTAAGTAGCTGAGACTACAGGCACAAGCCACCATATCCAGCTGATTTTTTTGTATTTTTTAGTAGAGATAGGGTTTCGCCATGTTGGCCAGGCTGATCTTGAACTCCTGACCTTGGGTGATCTGCCCACCTGGGCCTTCCAAAGTGCTGGAATTACAGTCATGAGCCACCATGCCTGGTCTTGGACTTTATTTATTTATTTTGTGAATTGTCGTTCTTACAATTTGCCCAATTTTCCATTGTTTTCTTTTTTATATTGATTTGTAGGAAACCCTTGTCACATACATTACAAATGTTTTCTCCCAGTCTTTGTGTTTAATATAGATGAACATAAAATTCTTAAGAACAAGGTTAGAATTAAAGTTAAAATTCCTATTTTTTCTATGCATCATCTATGCGACAGTAACACTTGGCTCAGTCTTGCACATGGGGATTGCCCAAAAGCAACTTTATGGAGATACAATCAATTTTTAGAAGCCTCATTTTGTTCTAGAGATCTTAGCTCAAAAGTCCACCTCTTCGGAGAGGCCTTCTCTCATAGTTAAATCCAAAACAGCCCCTCTGGCGCCAGCCCTCTCTTTATCACTTTCGGTCTTCACAACACTTCTCTCCCTCTGAAATTATCCTGCCCATTAACTGTTGACTTGGCTGATTGACTTGTCTTGTTGACTTGTCTGGTTCTCCATGACCCTAGGGACCTTCCCTGTTTTTTTCTCAGCTGTATACCTGGCTCCTAGGATAGTGCTTGGCACAGAGCAGCTGGTCCACAAATAGTCCCTGAATAGATGTTGAATGACTGATGAGTTTTCAGGTTTTATCTTAATGCTACAAAGTTTTGATAATTGCCACTTTGGTCGGATTTTTTCTTTTTTCCTTTTTTTAATTTTTGAGACGAAGTCTCACTCTGTTGCCCAAGCTGGAGTGCAGTGGTGTAATCTCGGTTCACTGCAACCTCCACCTACTGGGTTCAAGTGATTCTCCTGCCTCAGCCTCCTGAGTAGCTGGGAATACAGACATACGCTACCATGTCTGGCTAATTTTTGTATTTTTAGTAAAGACGGGGTTTCACTATGTTGGCCAGGCTAGTCTTGAACTCCTGACCTTGTGATCTGCCGACCTCAGCCTCCCAAAGTGTTGGTATTACAGGCGTGAGCCACCGCGCCTGGCCAGTGGTCTGACGTGTTTTAAAATCTGTTGGGGTAAATATGTTAGCATCAGTGATCTATTCATTTGCTTCAAAATTACTTAGAAAAAAACCTCTGAGATTCCCTGTGCCTGATTACTTTTGCAGCTGAATGTCACAACCCATATGTCATGTTTTATAAAAATATAGCGAGGATTTTAATTGATATTGAATTGACTCTTTCATAGTAACTTATTTTTATCTTTACTACATTCTGCCTTCCCAAATGGCAGTCAAGTTTAGCTTTCCATGAATTCATGTTTTTAAAATTTCTTTCACTGTACTTTTAAATTTTCTTTAATAATTACTATATGCTGCACATGGTAAACCCTGAGTATAATTTGTTTCCATTCTATTGTAAATAGAAGCTCTTTATGCTGTATTTTCTGTCTCCCTAATATTTAGGGATACATTTGATTCTTTGAAAACTGATATCATGTACCCTGTAACTTTGAAGTTATTGCTTCTAGGATTTTTTTTTGCTATTGATGCTGTTGCTTTGTATTGGTTGAATTTCTTGGATTTTTAGGGAGTTATGCTTGCTAAAACACAAAGTTTTTATTTATTTAGAACTTTTATTTATTTATTTATTTATTTTTATTTTTTGAAACGGAGGCTTGCTCTGTTACCCAGGCTGG